CTATAACATTTTATTGTGAAGTCTATAACTTGTCTCTCTGCAAGGTAGTCGCAAGTGTGCTGTCCTCGTGTTTTCTTGGTGATCTACCAACTTCGGGTTGGTTAATCTGATGATTGTTGTCGGAGGAGGTAACGTGTACGCAAGAAAGGTCCCCCGTAAAGATGACAACCTGAGAGGGGTCAGTCATACGCGTAACTGCCTGTCCATGTCCATGTAGCCCAAAACGTCTCTAAAAGTGGTATTTATTTAAAACAACACAGTACAGTAATTGATAGTTATACCAGTTATACGAATGACTTGAAAGAAATTGTTAAAGGAAAATTAAACGGTCAACTTTGGGGGGAAAAGAGCGAATTTTAAGCAAAATTAGCCGGTTTTTGACAGCGAGATTCTCCTAAGTGCATACTTTTCAGAAACATAATTTTAGCATTTTCGGAAAGCTTATTCATCTTAAAGTTTATCATTCACACGAACTAACACAGGTGTGCTATCGCGTTAAAACATGTCTAAATCCTTCAAACTGCTCATAATTGGTAAACAAGCCGTCATCGCAGCAACGTTACGCGTACGAGAGAGCCTGTTAGTGCAGCCTTTTTGTGAAAAAATGTTTGCACTTTGTGATAAAAGATTGAAACTTGGCACAGATGCAGATCTGGACATTCCGAATATTGTAAGATATTGGTCCACCGACAAAAATCAAATATGGCCGCCTTTGAGGAATGAAGTTCGAGTATATTTCTTTAGCATATGACTTTCCTCATTAAAAGCCAATTATCTATACCAATATTTATACTCGTATGGTCGATAAAATGACAACACCAGAATATTTAAAGAACAAAATTTGCATTTAAAAAAGATATGGTGTACATGGCTAACGTTTTTGTTGGTTAGTGACAATTAAATGCAATCACAATTGCTACCACATTTGCAAAGTAATGTGCAAATCAACACATTTACACCGTGCTCTGCATCCCCTCTCAGAACTACATCTCAGAAGCTCTTGGTATGACTGAGAAGCTTATGGTTGCGCAATCCACAAACGCTCACTAATTTTGCAACTAATCTTACCAATCTCCACTCAGTTTGCGTTGGGTGGTCTGTTTCGGCCTCCCACCTCGTCCTCAACAGTGGTCAGCGTGAAATGCAGCCCTTTTTACATGTTGGTAGAAAAGCATCTGACGTAGGAGGAAGGGACTCTACTTTTTTTAGAGAATAATTCTTTGCATGCAACTCCTGTACAGATACTGGCCCGATCATACATAAGACCACAACACGCTCAATGACTGGCATCATGTTCCTAACACTCTGTTCGAGTTGTACATCACCAATGCGATTGAAACTTCTGTATTGTCTTGTTCGGGTTGTACATCATCAATGCGAATAAAACCTCTGTATTGTCCTGTTCGGGTTGTACATCATCAATGCGATTGAAACCTCTGTATTGTCCTGTTTGGCTTGTACATCACCAATGCGAATGAAACCTCTGTATTGTCCTGTTCGAGTTGTACATCATCAATGCAATTGAAAGCTCATGTTGCTTCATCATTGGACACACCAATTTCTGTGTCTCTTGAAGAAGTGTGAAATATTCATTTGTCCATCTTTTCAAAAAGAGGTTAGATAAAAACAGTACTTAACGCCATCTTCTTTTTGTGTAAACGTTCGACTTGTCGAGGAGGTCTGGTGGCATGGTCTCTTCAGGCTATAGTAACAGTAGGTGATTTGGGGTGAGTGAAGCCAAAACTGTGGGATCATTTGGAAGCATCTGTTCATGGAGCAGACCGTTAAGGATCTTTCTGAAGGATCTGATTAAATGGTCCCATACACCTTCAAAGTGAGACCCCAAAGGGGGGTTAAATCCCACACAATTTTTTTCTTCTGAAGAACAGTTTCAATGGTCTCACTATCTGTTGATTTCCTGTCTCAACTCACCTACCAGGTGCGTGCCATTGTCTGATCGTTCACTGGCCCCCTTCGTGCGATAAAACGATGGATCGCCTTGATGTATGAGTCTGTGTCTTATACCTAGCATATCGTTTTACAACACTGCGACCTCTTTTGACTTTTATAGGTCTAAAATAGTCCATTCCAAACCGTGAAATGGGGGTTCATCTGCAATCAGATCTTTTAACTTGCTGTTTGAGCTCGATATTTTCGACACACAACTCACTTGGCGATGAGACGCTTGAGGGCTGTACTAGCGCCGGTTATCGAGTGATTCTGTTGCAATGCTGACAGCATTGTATTCTTTCCTTGATGTTCAACAACTCTGTGACTATTTTTCAATATCAATCTGGAAACAGAGTGTTTTGCTTCAAATGGAATGTTCGCTCGTTCACGGCGACCTCTCACTCTCATGATACCGTTTATCATTACCCGATCCAACTTTTGAATCCTGTTTGAGTCAGTGGTTTTGTGACCAACCGTTCCAAACTGTTCTAGAGCTTTCGGTTCAGAAGAAAAATTCTGTCTCTGTGTGTAGCGAATAACAAATTCTTCTGCTTGCTTCGAAACTTCCTTACGGAAGTTTTTCTTTGCCCTGCCTTCTCTCTCAATGTTGCCAAAATCAAAAGAAACAAGGCTACAACTCTTTTCAATTTTATCCACTGACTGTAATGATTTCCGGGTAGAATAGGTCTTCATCAACCCATGCTGGCTGTAAAAGACGACTATGCTTGTCGTAAGAGGCGACTAAAGGTAACCAGTGGTTAGGCTCTCTGACTTGGTTGATGCATGTCTTCGTATCCCAATTGCGTGAATCGATGCTCATGATGTCAATCATTGGATTGTCTGGTACATACTCGATTATTTACAGATATAAAGTGGGACTATTGCAGAGTGTGGCGTTAAACATCAAACAAATAAACAAATTTGATCGTCATCAATGTTTGAATCCACTGTTGGTGTTTTCGGCCATTGTATTTGTGATTATCTCAATTGGTTGACTTCATTTGCTTCATGAATCACTGAGAGAAGGTTTGCAACAAACGTGTTGAAGCGGGTTTTCTCATTGGAGATATATCTAATCACTGCCACACTATCTGTCCAATAATGTACAGATGATATTTGGACCTCTATCTCTTTAAGGATCATGGTACTGGTGCGAACAGCGAGCATCACTGCAGTCAATTCAGTTCTAGGAATAGTAATCCTTTTGAGGGGTGCCACTCTTATCTTTGAGAACATGAGAGCACAATGAATGTGAATTTACACAAGAAATGACTTCCTCATCTGTAGGCACAGACTTTAAACAATCGTCCACATAAAAGCTCTTTCTTGTCACTGCTATTGCCTCTTATGAAAAGTCATTTTCATTAGCATCTGCAGTTTTACGCAATGTCGCATTCGAGCAGCTTGGTGATGAGGTTGCGTCAAACAAATGAAACACAATGTGGTAAGATGTGCGGTTTTGATTCAGATCACCTTCAGGCCACAACTATATCTGAAGAAATCACAGTCATCTTTCGCCACTCTCACCTGGTGGAACAGGGTGGCTTCAATATCTGCCATTATTGCTGTACGTTCCTGTCTGAATCGCAGAAGGACGCCTGTGAGATTATTTGTTAAATCTGGTCCTTGCAGCAGGTGACTGTTTAGGGATATACCTTCATATGCTGCAGAACAGTCGAACACAACTCGCAATTTATCGGGTTTTCCAAGGCGGTACACACTATGGTGGGGCAAGTACCATACATGACAAATAGTACTGATCACCTCATCAGCGGGTATCCTCTCAGCATAGCTCTTTTCAACAAGTTTAGACACGAAATCATTCTATTCTTCCAATAACTTAGAATCTCTCTTCAGTTTCACTTTCAGTCTTTCTAGTCTCTTTCACCTCTGCTTTCTTTAATGGCATTTTTATGCTGTAATAACCTTTCTCCAGTTTAATGGAACTGTTCACCATTTGAACGAACATCTTATTCTCTTGGGAATTCTCTTTCCTGTCATCGATAGATCTTTCTGGGAAATCAAGATTGATTGATTGTTTCACAAGTCTTTCCAGTTCGTTTAGTTCATCTACGGCTACTTCTTCGGTTCTGTTCAACTCCACTTGACCAGTCTCTGACAACATTCCACACTATAGATCCGAACCTGGTTAGTGTCGCATGTGGCCCTCCACTTGGACCATTCCCCAAATAAATCAATAAACAAAACGAACAATTGTAATACAGATCTAGTTGGGACTAGTTGACGTGTTTTTGTTGATCAAGTAGATTCATGGGTCGGTATATTAGAACTCAACATATGAGCTCCAAGATGGCTTCACACGACAAAATTAATTTTTCCAATTTATGTTTACAAACATAAATGTGTGTGTGAACATTGCGAAACAGTTTGTAAACCAGCTTTAGAATTTTTATAAACTGTTGTCGGGAAATGGTATGGATCTCTTTCTACACTAATATTTGGCCAACATATTAGCCCTTTCATATTAGGGTTTTGTCAAACATATATTTGTCGTTTACAACCAATCACATACTGCAACGATATAACCTGATTTTCACTTAATGTTTCTTTAAAATGGCGTCGGCATTTGAGAGAAGTGAAGAGGTACTTCGTACAACACATATTTGTTGTTCGAAAATACAAGTTTGCAAACTTTTTGGAGTTTTCCCAAACTTATGTTGCCTGTGTGAAGGCACACAAGGACATTTGGATTTTGTATCCTTTATAATGGAATTATGTAGTGGTATTAGATCTGTTGTCATTATGAGTGTGTGGATGAATGCTGTATATACATTATATCACAATTTGAATGCGTTGCTATTTTGTTTATTTTCACTCAAATGAGGAGGATGGCATTGAATGTATTATGTGTTTAAATTCTCATTAATGATCGGGGATTAATGAACCATTTATTGCTTTGAAGGATATTGAGAAAGATTACAGCGGATATATGTCATTGACTTTTTTATCAGTTATGGTCGATCATTAAACGTTTATCAAACCAGTAATTAATCTTGACATATGTTATATTCATCATTCCTTCCCACCAGTGTGCCAGATATGGAGACGAGTGTAACATGCTAACTGAGCTACAGACTATCAGCGGACACGTCAAGGAGAAAATGAATGCACTGGACGATACATTCCTGACTCCCCTGCACTATGCAATTCGCTACAACCACCTCAGTGTGGTCAAGTTGCTGGTGGACGCTGGTGCAGGTACTCACATGCTGTTACGATAGAAACATATTTTAATGATATAATTACATATTTTACCTTTCAATTTGAATTGAGTCACAGGTAAGCAACAATAAGCATGATAAGGCTAAAAATATTAATAGGGATCAGGGTGCTGTTGTACAAAGCAACCTTAGCGCTAAGATTGCCGTAACTCTATGTTAAGGCATGGGAGTTACGATCACCATATCTCTAAGATTGCTTTGTACAACGGCACCCTGGTCAGATGAGACACACTGCTGAGGCTAGGATACTCTGTTCACTAACTCGTTTTGTAAGATCTCAACGTGAAAGGCCATGAAGACATCACCCCACTCCACACTGCAGCCAGATACCACAGAGCGAAGATCAAGAGGATGGAGACCAACAGTCCCGAAGAAGAGGAGTCAATTAAGGGGAGTGTGAGTACTGTAGTCCTTGTGCATAATACACGATCTGCTTATCAGGTGGAGGGCAACACCTTCTTACCCAAAATAATGTTAAGTTATAACATATACTATACGCGATACTGATTTATTGATTAAATAAATTGAATATAATACATGAAAATCGTATTGCCAGAAATACACCAAGCACCTTCTTATGCATGTTATTGTATCAACGGGACTATCTGGTATACTCTACTAAAAAAATAACATACCAGCAGATAATTTAACGTTGGTAAAAACTCACTTCTTCTACAGAGACGTATTTTCTGGACAAAAAGTGTGCATTTTACACAATTAAAACAACACACAAGTCATAAAATAGACTGTTAAAAACTTAATGCAGGAATTTAAAATCACAATGGACTTGTGTACAATACACTTTAATTGTATTGATCGTGATTTAAGGTAAAGCCACAAATCTTTACATGCCGAATCGGATGTTGCGCATTTGTTGGTGATCTGTTGATTTCACTTTTGAATAGTTCACGTCTGTTTTCCATGCATAGGCCTCAATAATATTCCTCACAAAACTTTGATTCAATCAATATCTATAAAAGCATGTCTAGATACTAACACTCACATTTGTCTTTGGCTGTGACCAGGCTGCAGCCAGTGGCCTCCTGTCTGTGGAGACCTCTGGAGAGGGCTGTATATCCTTCCTGATCAAAACTGGTGCCGAAGTCAATGTTGTGGATATCTATGGACAGACGCCTCTACACTATGCTGCCATGAGCGGGAATGAAAATGCTGCAAGGGTTCTGCTGAACCTTACTGACATATATCTTGACGTGAGTGTCTTATACGCATACTGTTGACTTTTCTTACTGTTATATCAAAAGGCTGGAAAATGATAAGTATCAGCTCCCCTGAATAATTAAGAAACAATTTGCTGAGAGAAGCTTATGATAACTTCGTGTCATTCTTGGCATTTTACAGTGTTGAGTACAGATTAAACTGTGCTACAGTGTCGATGAACTATTTTCTGACTGAAATATGTATCAGGCATGAGTTGAAGCAATTCAAGAAATGAGTATGGTTGGTCATGAAATCATTACACAATTTTACAGTTGTGACATTGGTATTATTTCAAATTTCAATGTATTCACAGGAAGATAAAGCACTTGTTTATCTTCCCGAAAGAAATAACTCTCTGTAAAATGGTACTTGTAAACCTTTTTGTACTATGGGTCTGATGGCCTTCATGCAAATAAAACTTGTAAATTTGTATGTGGTGTTGGCAGGCCCAAGACATGCAGGGTGTCACAGCCCTCCATACTGCAGCCGTTCACAGCCAGGAGGGCGTGGCAGCCATGTTGATCGAGGCAGGTGCCAACGTGCGATGTAAAGACATTGGGATGGCCACGCCGCTGCATCATGCGTGTTCAAAGGGAAATGTCTCCTTTGTGCAGATGTTGTTTGATGCTGCATCAGGTCGTGCCGAAGGCTGGGTGATGGTTTCAAGTGTGAGTGACTCTCATCAAGGACATTCTCAGAATGTGAAATAATGCATTAACTCCTGTATAAGTGGAAAAATACAAAATCTGCACACAACATATGTAAAGACATTTGGTTGAAAGTATGTGTGATCATGTTTCCATTGCCGTGTGTTATGGTACTTATGCATAATGAGTGTATATCCAGAACTCATTGCAACCCGAACACTTTCTTTTGAAAATCATCAATTATACAAACTTCTCTGTGTTTTGTCCTTTATGCTCAATAGTTTCGGCGGGAAATCTTGAGTGGTTCTTCTCCTGCATATGGGAAATCTTGAGTGGTTCTTCTCCTGCATATATATATATATATATATATATATATATATATATATATACCCTCTACCCATATTCCCTCATGATATATATATCATAAGGGATGATGGGTAGAGGGTATTACATTTTCTGTAATGCCCTTGGGGATTACAGTTTATATATATAACTCGGCTTTTCATTGGTCACCGGTACCACTTTTCATTCGTTAGTCCTTAAAGTCTATCAACCACGTCTTGATATGGAATGAGACGTTGCATAATTCTGGATTCTGATTCCGAATAAATACCTGCAACTTGATAAATATCCCATATCCATCCATCCATCCATCCATCCATCCATCCATCATCCATCCATCCATCTACCCATCCATCATCCAGTGTTGGTATGCATGTCTGGCATCAACGGTGCTGACTTGCATTTGTTAAAGTTAATGAATTGAATGCAACAATTCATTTGCATGTTGTGTATGTATAAGTTCCAAATGGTTTATCTTTCCCTCTGGATATATAAACCGTATTTAATCGTAGCTCGTTAGCTAATTTCATAATATCCAGCAAGAAAAGCAAATGTGAGCGGCCAGAGCGAAGTTTGTTATTTCAGAATCAAAGGTATTAGGTACAAGTCATCCCCAAGTGTATAATTCACTATGTCACGGTTCACAACATTTATATCTAGTCGTCATCACTAAAAGTGGATTAGCCATAAAAAACACATTGATCTATGACTTTAGAACCCAAAACGTGTAATGAGGATGAAGTATTATACGGATGTACTGTGTTCCTCATCCAGATGCTGACAGATCGGGATGTTGAGGAGAGCACATGTCTCCACCTGGCTGTAGACAACGGACATTATGATGTGGCCAAACTCTTCTTGGAGAAATGTGAGTTAACTTAATTCTGTATAAGAACATCAGTCTGTAATTTGACATCTACCCTCGGATGTCTCTCTGAAAGGTTGATTGTGTATATTTCTACCCTGGTGGCGTGGAAGGTTACCCATGTTTTCTGTCACTGGTTTGCCTGGTCCAGACTTGACAATTTACTGGCAGTTGTGCTATTGCTGGAATATTGCTGACTGTTGAGTCTAACAACATCCCCTCACTAATGATATTGTGAAAACTAACTTTGTGGCAATGAAGAGATGCAACCCAAGGAAAATATTGTGGTTTTTATCTTCCACATGATCCATGAAGATCACTGCATCTTCTGATGTTCTGCAGATGCCGATGTGAATGTCCCCCGGAAACACGACATCTATCCTCTCCATCTGGCCGCCATGTCAGGAGACATCCGGAATGTCAAGCTGCTGGTGGAACACAAGGCTCGTGTTGATGTGTTGAATGACGAACAGGCAACTCCACTACACAAAGCAATTGTGTTCAATCATCTGGATGTTGTACAGTATCTTGTTGATCAGTAAGTTATCTTCATTCTATTGGTAGAACGACATTACTATTATACTGCGTAGCATCAAGTGGCATCTGGTAAATACACTAGGTTTACACTGTATTTGTTTGTTCTGTTTATTTATTACCGCCACACTCAGTTATATTCCAGCTTTTTTACGTGGGTCTGTAAATAATCGAGTCTTGACTACACAATTCAGTCATTGTCATCATGAGCATCGAACGACGAAACAGAGTCACAGAGCTCCAGTAAATCACCATATCCTTATCAATTTGGAGATTCTTGAGTGCAAATGTGCATCACAAATTACAAAACCAAACAATAGTATAACAACACTGTGGGTAATTACGTTGTCTAAACAAATAATCCCTCACATCCCGTGTTTCCCCAATTACACATTGTCACACAGTGTCAACAGTCTAATTTGTCTAAGTTCTCTAACCTTCCACATCTCGTCATGTTGCTGAAATAGCACCGATTAATCCAGACAGACGCGAGCCAGTCTATTCTGTTAGATAAACATGCTACACCAACCTACCTTGTCAACTAAGTCTACAATACCTGCATCTATAGTTTAAAAATCACTGACTGAAAACTGAAAACGACGTTTCTCCATCTCTGTAATGGACAGTTGAGATGGTTGAAACACCACTGCCTGCGTGGTTGGCGATGCTTTCGTGTAAGGATGAGTCCACGCGCTGATGCAAACAGTTCCTGACGGTTGATCCAAGATGATTCTCCGGACTCCAGCTACTGCAGATGTAGTAGAGGTTGTTGTAACAAACCTGTTCCGTAAATGTCGTAGACGGATAAACCTGTCCTGTGCGGATGTGGTGACACGTGGTCTTCCGGAATGAGGCCGATCACGTCAAAGCCTCCCTACTTTGCTCTGGGACACATTTAGCGCGGAGCAACCGCCGATTGCAACTCGCCTGCCTCTAAATGCTTAATTGCATTATTTCGCTGCGCATGGGACATGAGAAATTTCGTCTTTTAACTGTCACTAAAGCAGGAACCATGGGTTTTATTGGTAATGGTTCTCATGATGCACGCATGAAATTATTTCCCCATTGTCCCTCACACCCTTTATTGATAGAAATAGACGTGGTTGCATTTTGGCAATTGGTAAACGGTGTCAATGGTTTTAAACTTGGAAATGACTCAACGTTAAGCAAGGGCATAATAATTGTACAGATTCTCAGGATTCCTCTTAGATAAATCAGAAGAGAAAATATAGCCTATGCGTTTCTTTTTTTAGGAGTACATATATAGCCAGATGCACGCACATATTATGCTGTACATTAAGTAATGTTCCATGGTTACAGCGGTGCAAAGATTGATCGACGTTGCAAAGACAACTACACCCCCCTTCTGCTGGCTGTGACACACGGTCACGTCGAGACTGTGGAGCTCTTGTTACAGAAAGGTGCAGATTACACTGCTGTCGACAAGAACGTCAAAACCGTCATCTTCCTGGCAGCGGAAGAAAACAAAGCTCCAGTGTTGAAGGTAAGTTATGATTTTCTCCTAAAATTTAAATTCATAAACACTCATGCCCCTAATTTGAATTTTTCTCGGGGCCTGAAGTATCTAACAACGTATTGTATATTTAAAAGTGTTTCTTTTCAACAACCCATGCTTGTCGTAAGAGGCGACTAACGGGATCAGATGGTCTGGCTCGCTGATTGGTTGATGTATGTCATCGTATCCCATTTGCGTTGATCGATGCCAAGATGTCACTCACTGGATTGTCTTGTCCTGACTCGATTATTTACAGACCGCCGTCATATAGCTGGAATATTGCTGAGTGGCCTTGAATAACAAACACATAAACAGCTGCCGATCACCAAAATATTTACATGACTAAGGGAGGGTATTAAGAGGTGTACATTTTGCCGTTGAAGAGAAATTGTTTTCCAGAAACTATTGTCTTACCCACAAGTAAAGCTGATGATCAAGGGAAATGAAAGCTGTGTCACCAATCCTGTGCATGTTGCAGCTCAGGAAGGTTACAGCGAGATCCTAGTGGTAAGATGGGCGGAAACCTATTTGTATTGAGAAAAATTGAATGCAGTATGTTGTCTTCATGAAATGATAGATAAAGTACATGCAATTGAACTGAAAAACTTATACGTGATGTTCACTTCACTTATGACTCAGTTACCTATACCAAGTTAAAACAGCCATACAAATCCTACAAAGTTGAATGCTGGACTACTGCAGCATCCTACAGCCCTTGATACCAAGGAGTCCATTTGTATGTAGTGTACACATGGGAAGGAAGGGACATAACTCCCATGGTACAGATTGATGCTAATATGTGTATCCAAGGTATGTGGTGTATGAATAGTTCAATCTGTCCTTATTTTCTAGATATTGCTGGAGAATGGAGCTCTTCCTGACAGCAGGAACGAAGAACAGCAAACACCATTACATCTCGCTGCCATGTTTGGCAGGATGAGGTAAATACTTGACAGAAGGGAATAATGATTCGGATATTCAGTGTACAGACTCTGAAACCATTTTGACAACATGACAATTGGTTTCAACAGAGCCTTTCATTTTCAGAACTGTTCATGTACTCTCTTCTTTCTTAGTATTCTTCAGTTCAGAGATTACTTGATGGTTCCATATCCAGTACTTTGATTTATTGCCATTTACACCTTCCTGCTGTGAATAACATTTGGGGCCCGTCCGACAAAGGGATCCTAGCGCTATGATTGTCGTAGGTCTGTGTCAAAGTGTGGCAGTTGCGATTGTTCTTAGCACTAGAATTCTATTTTACCACTTCTTCTCATTAACTACAGGACATCTGACACTAAAACTTTCAGTTTTACTCAGTTTAAATTTAAATGTATATTTAATTCTTTTAGCAATTTGTGTTGCAATGCTTGTATTTACTGCCCATTTCTTGGAGTAATTTGACTGTTATCCTTGAATCACCTTCAACTGCTACTTTTCTGTATTCAGTGAAATAATCATAATCCAGATAGGACCGAACCTTAAAAAAGTACGTCTTTTACGTCTTCGGATCTTCCGCTTTTCGAGTATCCACTGAGGCGGTCTGAAATTAGAATACTAAGGCAATGTCTTTTTTGATGTTACAGCAATGTGAGAGAGCTGGTGAAGCGTGACAAGTTATTAGTCAATGCCAAGGACGGGAACTCCAACACTCCTTTACATCTGGCAGCCATGCAGGGACATGACAAGGCAGTAGCACTCCTCCTGGAGTTCGGAGCCGACGTTGCCAGCAGGTACAAGGCGTCCTGTGGCCTTAATTGTTATATCAGCCTATCACAAACCATTTTATTATAACAAGGCCAGAGCAATTTCTTTCTTTTTATCATTTTTGTTAAAATCCAAAGTGCAGGAGACAAAATGGTTGATATTTTAGAGTCCACTGTATGATTCCGACTGTACTATAAGCATGCGTTTATGAATTACTGTGAGGGTACCAGATGTTAGCGAAAAGGTGAGCATGTCCTGCCACCTTGGGGGCATCCATAATTACAATACAATACCTGACAAACCTCATCTTTCCATTGTCAGAGACCTATTTTTCAGAAAGATCTACCTTTTGTTTGTTTTTTTAAACCTATTTCTGATGAACTTATTTCTCAGAAGCTATTTCTGGTGAACGTCTTTCTGAGAACCTTTTATTTTGTTGAACCCTTCTTTAGTAACTATATTTTTAGATGAATCCATTCCCCGAAACTGCTTTTGATGAACCAATTTCCCAGAAACTACTATTGATGAACCAATTTCCCAGAAACTATTTTTGATAAACCTCTTTCAAAGAAACTACTTTTGATGAAACTCTTTTTCAGAAACTATATCAGATGAACCCCTTTTTCAGAAACGATTTTTGTTGAACCCCTTTCCCGTAAACTACTTTTTGAGAAACTCATGCTCACGTACTAGCGTTATTGGTTGACAGGAACTACAGTTTGTCGACCCCCCTGAATCTGGCAGCATCCGAAGGATGTCTGAAGGCATGCCAATTACTGCTGGAACATGGTGCAACCATTGAAACCATGGACAAATATGGGGTCAGTTTCAAATAGCCGGCACCTGCACAACACACTAGGAAAGACAATAAAATGGATTTATAATAATAATAATAATAATAATAATAATAATAATAATAATAATTGATGTTAGGCCGTAGTGTTTATTTATTTAACATTGAACTCTTGAAGGACGTAAGGGTTTGTGACAGTCACAGTTCTAGTGGCAATTGATGCCATAGTGTAGCAGCCGAGAACCTGTAAATCCTGTTTGATGTTAACGCTATTAAATGTTCAGCATGAGGTCAACATCAAGATAACTGACAACCCTTAGTGTGCTTCCTGTAGCATAACAGTTAAAAAAGATGGTAGATTTGTGTATTTCTACAACATTGTTCTGTCGAGAGTGTGGCATTGCACTTTCGGCACATACCCATGAAATGCCGCCGAAAGATAATCTCACAGTTGAGGACGTAACCAACGGATCAGTTTCAAGAAATGATTCTGGAGGCATTGCCATGAGGACAACACTACTTCAGTAATAAGAAATACCTACATATGCAAATTATTGTTGCTTATTAGAGTAAAGCGGTGATACATTCACTGTTATAGATATCAGATAGAAAACCTACACGGATATACGGTTTGTGGATCCAATTTATGGCGTCTTTGCCTTGACATGCCAGCAACATTTGTCACTCACTCACTCCGAACATTTACTGCAGACCACTCCACTTCATTTTGCGTGTCGCAATGGACACCCCGCAGTGGTAAGCCTCCTCATTGAGTGGGATGCAAATGCTACGTTGCCGGACTCCGAGGGTCTCAACAGTCTTAGTATCGCCATTGAAAACCACAACAAGTGAGTTTAAGAGCTTTATTTCTTGAGTTTTTGTTTTATCATGATTATCTATGTGCAAATAATATGTCATGCCCACCCTAACGTAAAACATAATTGCCAGTTATGCATGGAATGTAAAAAAGGTGATGCCATTGTAATATGCAATATGGTAACATTCTCTCTATAAAAAGTAAGGCATCAATGATACACTTTGTTGTAAAATATGAAAACTTGACACTAAACATGTTGAGAAAATAATTAGTAGACCAATTTTGTAGAAATACGTCAATTAAAAAATCATATAATATAATATATGTTATATCAATGTTTAACAACGCATAATGTGAGTCCTACATTTCATATTGATATATGAAGAATCGAGTGCATTGAACGTGCGGTGAATCGTTACACAAGGGGGTCAAACGCACTGAAATATGCTCATGTCTTTTCATTACAGTGATGTTGCCATGGTGATCATCAACTCTGAGGTGTGGAAGGATGCCTTGCGACATGCATCGCTCGACATTGTTACAGGGCATTTCGACACGCCCATGAGAAAACTCATCAGGAAGATGCCAGGTTCGACTCATTTTTGCAATCTCCTGTATTGTTGTACCAAATATTCAATCACCAGAATACAAAATCAAGTTGGAAAAGTGTGAAGTGGTACAAACTTATATGTTAATGTCCTTTTGGGTATTTGTCGATGAGATTGGTTAAAGGGTTTCATCAATGAGCACCATTTCCCAGGTACAGTAAACTACGGTTATAACGAACTCAAAGGGACTACTAATTTTAGTTCGTTATAACCGTAGTTCGTTATGTGTACATATACAGCATGACTACAGCAAGTAGTCGGGACCAAAAAGTAAGTTCGTCATATCCGTCAGTTCGTTATAAGAGTGTTCGTTATAACCGTAGCTTACTGTAACATATTTAATCTGAAAATGAAAGGTGATGCAGGTCTGTGTGGTTGGCATATCTTGGAGATAATCAGTAGGGTCTATCTCTCTTCACAGAAACGTATCTTTCTATTCGCCTCAATACAAGTTAGGGGGCACATGTAGCCCAGTCGTCCAAGACGTTGCCATTCGCTTTTGAATGCCCTGGGCACGTCATGAATCAGAATCTATGATCGTGTGTTCGAATCATGGTTCGCCCCGATTATGTTTCTAGGTTTGTCAGCACCATACCTGTTCTCATGGGTTTTACCAAAGCTGTGAACGTCTCAGACCTGCATCACTTCGGGCTTTCCTCCCACATTAAGCTGACACTCGTAATATAACATGAATACTGTTCAAAGCTGCAATAAACCCAACTCAATCACTCATACTCTATACAAGTTTAGCAGCAAATATTTCTCATTAACCAGATGTGGCAGAGCGAGTGTTTGATCGCTGCCTGAGCTATGGCGCTGAGAAGAATCCAGAGCGACCCGACTATGAAATCACGTTCAACTATGAGTTCTTGGATGATGTGTATGCGAATTGGCTGGACACAAAGAGAGAGTCCTCCAGCGACACTGGATCAAGTTCAGGTGTGTAATGTGTTTCAGTTTCATTGTGTGCCAAAGAGAAATTGAATACTTCCATTGTACTGGGGGTGAACCTAGCATTAGCATACTTTAAAGCGTCACAACGATCTATCAACTTGTTTGTGTTAGTCAAACTGTCTATAACCAAATATTGCAACTGTGCTATTCAGAATCATCCATGTAAATCTATACGACCATGTCCCAAGAGGAACTTAGAGACTTCGATTGGTTTTGCCCGTGAAGACAGATCTAGGTCATAGGATGGCCATGAGAGGAACACGAATCACAAGTAATCACCACAAGTAATAACACAAGTAATAACAAGTAATAACATCAATCTTACATTCAATCTCCTCCATGACACCATGTTTGGGCATGGCCAATGCTATAGAGTTCATGTTGTTTGTACTTGACTGCAGAAAACTTTAATTGGAACACATCATCATCAGTTTCACCGTATTTGAATAATGATAAGGTTTATTGAAAAATCAAGCGAGATGTTTTTTCTTTCTTGATATGTTACATTGACAACTTATATTTATAAGTCCTGTTGTTCTTGAATGGACTGGTAATATAACTCATATCTAATACATGTGAATAATTAATATAGTTATTATTTCAAAGAGAAATAATGCAAAAGCAAAACAAATGGTGGTGAGTAAAGAGGGATTAGTTGTGTTTAATATGTATATTTCAAGTAGAAGATCTATAACTACACTAACGTCTAACATTCTTTCCTTGTGGTGTATTTTGTAATTTGTCCTACATTCCAATACGTTCGTGATGTCTAAAACAAATAGAACCGTGTGGCTAGATCAATTAACTAGCCTGTGCATGTGTTTGTGATGGGTACCAGGGTATAGGACTGGGTACGCTCACCCTTCGCGAACTCCCGGTATCATCACTATTTGATAGTGATTCATGAACACAGGTTCATGATATAGTCGGAGTCGTACAAAGGACTTTTAACAGAGGTTTCTTATGAATATGGTCAGGATTTTGACGATTTTATTTAGAAGTAATAATACTTTGCCTTGCATATTCTTGGTCTTTTTTGAATTCTTATTCCATGCAACTATAGGAACACCCACTTCACAATTAAATAATATATTAGTCAAAACAGCTGTAATCAACCATGTTAGGTTTCATTTTATAACATTATAATCGAGATTAGAATGTACGTTAAGGACATACATATTTGTAAAAGAGCATGATTGTGAATTGTTGGTACACTAACCATGCCTCACCACATTGCATTTTACACCTACACTCAATATATTATAATTTCCATCCTTAAATAAGAAACCCTTTTTCAGATTATGGGGTGTTTGATGAACATGGACGGGTACTGCCAAGTGCCAAGCCCTACGCATCAGACTCCAGCATCCTCAAGATGAACCATCCCCTCAAAATAATGGTGGGCAGAGTGTACTGTGGTGCAACTATGATGAAGAATGTTCCCCTAAATGGTGAAGAATGTTCCTCTAAATAGTGAAGGATGTTCCCCTAAATGGTGAAGGATGTTCCCCTAAATGGTGATAAATGTACCACTAAATGTATCACTAAAAAGGGATGGATGTACCACTGAATGGAGATGAATGTTCCCCTAAATGGTGAAGAATGTTCCCCTAAATGGTGATGGATGTACCACTGAATGGTGATGAATGTACCGATGGATGTACCACTGAATGGTGATGAATGTACCGATGGATATACCACTGAATGGTGATGAATGTACCGATGGATGTACCACTGAATGGTGATGAATGTACCGATGGATGTACCACTGAATGGTGATGAATGTACCGATGGATATACCACTGAATGGTGATGAATGTACCGATGGATGTACCACTGAATGGTGATGAATGTACCGATGGATGTTCCACTGAATGGTGATGAATGTACCGATGGATGTACCACTGAATGGTGATGAATGTACCGATGGATATACCACTGAATGGTGATGAATGTACCGATGGATGTACCACTGAATGGCGATGAATGTACCGATGGATGTACCACTGAATGGTGATGAATGTACCGATGGATGTACCACTGAATGGTGATGAATGTACCGATGGATATACCACTGAATGGTGATGAATGTACCGATGGATGTACCACTGAATGGTGATGAATGTACCGATGGATGTACCACTGAATGGTGATGAATGTACCGATGGATATACCACTGAATGGTGATGAATGTACCGATGGATGTACCACTGAATGGTGATGAATGTACCGATGGATGTTCCACTGAATGGTGATGAATGTACCGATGGATGTACCACTGAATGGTGATGAATGTACCGATGGATATACCACTGAATGGTGATGAATGTACCGATGGATGTACCACTGAATGGCGATGAATGTACCGATGGATGTACCACTGAATGGTGATGAATGTACCGATGGATGTACCACTGAATGGTGATGAATGTACCGATGGATATACCACTGAATGGTGATGAATGTACCGATGGATGTACCACTGAATGGTGATGAATGTACCGATGGATGTTCCACTGAATGGTGATGAATGTACCGATGGATGTACCACTGAATGGTGATGAATGTACCGATGGATATACCACTGAATGTTGATGAATGTACCGATGGATGTACCACTGAATGGTGATGAATGTACCGATGGATGTACCACTGAATGGTGATGAATGTACCGATGGATGTACCACTGAATGGTGATGAATGTACCGATGGATGTACCAATGAATGGAGGTGAATGTACCACTGAAGGCATCCTTCCACAGCTCAGAGTTGATGATCACCATGGCAACATCACTGTAATGAAAAGACATTTTTTAATTGACTTAATTCTACAAAATTTACAAAAGTTGGGCTACGACTTATTTTCTTACCATGTTTAGAGTAAAGTTTTCATATTTCCTATCGAAATATTTTGTACAACAAAGTGTATCATTGATGCCTTACCTTTCATGGAGAATAGGTTTCCATATTGCATATGACAATAGTATCAACGTATTAACATTCCAAGCATAACAGTGAATGTTTGTGTAGAGAATGTGTAGAGAGTCGTCGGTGCAATTGCACACGTCTCCCGACTGTGGTGTTTGTTCCTCCAGGTGGCGTTGCGTCGGAAAGACCTACTGTCCCACCCTCTTGTCATGTCCATGTTGAACCACAAGTGGCTCACGCTCGGCTGTCCCTTGTACATTGCCTCAGTTAACCTCTACCTGGTGTTCCTGACGTTCCTCACGACGTACATCGTAGAGACACCACCTCCCTATATCTAGTAAGTGCAGTCCATTATAATACCCTCAGTTAACCTCTACCTGGTGTTCCTGACGTTCCTCACAACGTAAATTGTAGAGAGACAAAACCACCCTATATCTAGTAAGTGCACTTCATTATAATACCCTCAGTTTACCTCTACCTGGTGTTCCTGACGTTCCTCACGACGTACATCGTAGAGACACTACCACCCTATATCTAGTAACTGCACTCCATTATAATACCCTCAGTTCACCTCTACCTGATGTTCCTCACGACGTACATCGTACAGACACTACCACCCTATATCTAGTAAGTGCACTCCATTATAATACCCTCAGTTCACCTCTACCTGGTGTTCCTCACGACGTACATCGTACAGACACTACCACCCTATATCTAGTAAGTGCACTCCATTATAATACCCTCAGTTCACCTCTACCTGGTGTTCCTGACGTTCCTCACGGCTTACTTCGTGGAGACACTACCACCCTATAGCTAGTAAGTGCACTCCACTATAATGCCCTCAGTTAACCCTGACCTCGTTGATACCCAGGTGAGCATAGGCCCCGAGCCCGCTATTATATGCCATGAGAGGAATCTAACTTGGACTGGTCGGTCAGGCTTTATGACTAAGTAGAATATGTGTCACCATAACCAAATGACATGGGACGTTGCTGATAATACCAACCACTGACCTGTCTGACTGAGACTAGAGTTTTACAGGCCCATGTCTTATGAAGCTAAAATATTGCTGACAGGGGCATTAAACAACAACCAAGTACCGGGACATCCCACCACCATATTCTAAGTTATTGCATGGAATCACTAAGCTGCTGCAGAAGCAATATTGAAAATGAAATGTTGGACCCATTCCTGTACCATTTATTTTTTTAAATTATTATTATTATTATTATTATTATTATTATTATTATTATCTACGACGAGTAATGGCTACTCATAGGGATTCTTCTACACTATGATCGATTTTGAAAATAACTTTTGGAGCATTTGAAACAACGATTAATCAATTTCCCAAATATGAACTGGTCTGAAAACTTGGACTAGTAAAGGTATTTTGTTGTTTGTTATCCCCATCCAACAATCTACCATTAGCCATAAAACTTATACGAAAGTATGGATGTACTTAGTTTGATTGTATGATGAATAAGTAAACCTGTATTGCAAAGACTGTAGAGACACTTACCACATGCTTATTACATTGGGGACACAGGTGACCCAGTCGTCTAAGGCGCCGCGATTCGTTGGGCAGGGTTGCGTCCCTTGGACACGCCTGAAACCTATGATTGTGGGTTCGAATACCGGTTCGCCCCGATTATGTTTCTAGGTTTGTCAGCACCATATCCGTGCTCTTGGGTTTCACCGAAGTGGTAAACGAGACCTGTATCACTTCGGGCTTTCCTCCCACATCAAGCTGACACGCCGTGATATAACTGGAATACTGTTAAAAGCGGCGTTAAACTCACTCACTCACTCACTCACTTATTACATTGGGTTTGATATGTTATCACATAATCTTGAGGATATAGCGTGTATAATGATGTTTTGCCAAATAAAAAGAGTGAACGTTAAAAGGAATGACACTGAGCAGAGAGCAATGGCGGTTATTTTTATGTTTCAGTAATTCAAGTGATTTCGCGGCCATGTCCTCTGGGTCATGTGACCATCTGAATACAACCTATCAACAGCCCAAACCTGCCCTAATAGCTAAATATGTTGTCATATTATTAGTTGTCTTCAACATGTTGAAGGAGGTGAGGTTATACTGTATCTTTCCTGAATTTGGCTTCTAATGCCTGTTGGGGGCGGTCGGGTAGCCTTGTGGTTAAAGCGTTCGCTCGTCACGCTGAAGACCCGGGCTCGATTACCGACATGGGTACATTGTGTGAAGCCCATTTCTGGTGTCCCCCGCCGTGATATTGCTGGAATATTGCTTAAAACGGCGTAAAAACAGATTTGACAACGAATCTTAATATACAATATACTCCTTTGACGTTGGTTCCTCATTGACCCCCAAATAACTTTCCACAGGAAGTTCACATCAAATATTGTTACACTTCTTAGTAATTCTTGGAAATATTCCCTTTAATACTCTCTATCCTTACATCATGTATGTATTATGAAATCCTTTAAATACAATGTGAGAATGTTTGTTCCAGTTGTTTCAAATCTTCCAAGCAAGGTGTTCGTACTTCAGCTGGACGAATCTGATTGAGTGGTTCACCTATATCTCAGCTCTACTCCTCGTTATTGACTTCAATGACTGTCAGAAGGAAACAGGCTTCAGATTGGTGAGGACAGTGTTGTCATTGTGCGGGGTCATGTTTGTGTAGATAAGGGGGCGGTCGGGTAGCTTAGGGGTTAAAGCGTTCGCTCGTCACGCCAAGGACCCGGGTTCGATTCCCGTCATGGGTACAATGTGTGAAGACCATTTCTGGTGTCCCCTGCCGTGATATTGCTGGAACATTGCTAAAAGCGGCGTAAAACCATACTCACTCACGATGTAGATATGGGGACAGAGAAGGCCCAGACAAGAAAGGCCCACTAATTTGATGTGCCTTCCAGAGACATTTAATCTTGGATTTAAATCCCAGATTCGGTTGATGATGATCCTTGTCATAGTATCCACATCAGTCAGAGGTGAAATGTCATATTTTCAAACATGTCGAATATTACGAACTTGTTTATTATTACCTTAGAAGAAATATGGTAACATGATTTCAACCATCTCTCATGGTGCGGGGTTTACCCAAACGTATTCAAACCGCCGTGTCCATGCCACAGCAGCCACAAAGTTGTCCGAGGCGGGCGTTGGTGCTCTTGGAATAATGTCCGTCTCGGGACACAGGCATGTGCAATCCTCACAGAATTTCATAACCACATATGCGCCAGTTGCTCAGTGTATGGTATTCAGCAACATACTGCAGTCAAACAATACGACCACTGTCGCGTTTCTTGCGCCATGTTCGTCCCGCGTCGACGCCATAACCAGTCCAAGGCCGTCGATTTACGGTATCAATTCAATTCAATTCAATGGTTAATTGTATGAAAGGTCATTGGTTCACGTACAAGTGAGTTACATACACATACAGTTATATTAACAAGTACTGTAGTATACGGAGTATCAGGACAACAACAACTGACGTAACATAAAGCATGATGAATGTATAAGGATACTTGAAGTTGTAAGTTATATTTTTTGTTTGACAGCAGACATACAAAGTGCTTAGTAGATATGCGTGAACATGACCAGGGCCCCGTTCCACAAAGTGATCTTAGCGCTAAGTTGATCGTAACTCCCATTCTTTAACACTGACGTACGACAATCGTAGCGCTAAGATCGCTTTGTGGAACAGGGCCCTGACACGTAAATATTTCCATTCTTATTTTGTTATATACCGGATAAATAAACATAAAATGAAATTCGTCTTCAACACCAAGGCCACAGATGGGGCAAATTCTTTGTGACTTTTGAATATTGGAATATCTTCCTTTATTCACTTTAAGATCATTTAGACTAAGTCTAAAACGTATAAAGGTATTGCGGGGGTATCTGCATCTTAAATTTGAAAGATACCTTTCTGGTTCGAGGAGAGACTTAATATTACGATATGCGTCATATTTTGAAATGTCTTAAAGTGCAGAATGCCAATCCTGTCGGAACATATCTACAGATAGTTGTAAAAACATATGAATGTCACCAATAGATGATAGATATAGAAGTGGTAAACGTCTGAGACCTGCATCACTTCGGGCTTTCCTCCAACATTAAGCTGACACGCGTTGATATAACTGGAATACTTTTAAAAGCGGCGTTACACCCAAACTCAGTCACTCGCTAATATGTGTACAGTGGCCAGCAATCTCCGGTCCAACACAAACACCCCCTGAACTCCTTCCAGATGATGCTAGTTTAACTGCTGTTGAATAATAAATATCATCAGCATTTAACCAGTTGTGCAACAAATGTTTCCACTAGGCATATAATATCGTAACACTGTAAATATTCAATGAAGTCATAATCATCAAACTTCTATTTTAAACCACTGATACTCCATGACAATATGGTAAAGTTCTCACAGTTACCGGTGAAAATGTCATTTGTCTCCTGTGTGAGAAGTTCTGAGCCTTGGCCACATTGCTACAAACGGGTGTTCCATTTCGTCGTTTGTTACTGCTGAATTGTCTCCTTGTTCCCTTTGGGGCGTCTCTGTCGTGTCTTGGTTTCGTCATCAGTTTGCCGTTCTTGAAGTAGCCCACTAAGTCCTTGATCTTTAACGTCCTGGGCCCACTTGCACAAAGCGATCTTAGTGCTAAGATGATCGTAACTCCCATACTTAAACATAGGCTTACAATAGTCGTGGTGCTAAGATTGCTTTGTGCAAGTGGGCCTGGAGTTGTAGGCGTTGTCTCCTAGTATGATCACTGGAAACACCGTATCCACCAACTCTGAGAGGAGAACGAGACTTCAGAATGTCCATCTTGTCATCTGAGGACCTCGGTTTCACTATTGTTGGCCTTGGTTTAGTAGCACCATCCTTGTGAACCCCAAGCATGTGTGCACTGACAACGTATAATGTAGCGCAACCAGCTCGGTAAGCACACTATTTCATGGCTTGCAGTTGCTGCAGTCAGCTTACATCAGTGGTGGAAACAAAGTAGCAAGTTCTACGACAAAAGTCACCTCAATTCACAATAACCAGTGGCACAGCTCATCGGCTATGTCCCGTGTGTTAGCTCGGCCCCACAATGCACTTGGAATGTTTCAAGTCATGTGATTAAACAGAAGCAAATTGATATAAAATCTTACATTTAAATCATACATTTTGCTGCATTTGTTTATGGATGATCACACACTGAACGCATAATACAATGTGACTCATCTAACAGTAACTTACCTATTTTAGTGTTGTTTATTTGTGTTTAAAACGTATACTTTGTCTCTTGACGATAGGGTGTAGGCAGTCAGGTGAAACAGCCCGTCAGTTAGCCATGTCCGTTGATTTTCATTTTACGGCTACGCTTATTGCAGATTTGATTCTAAACCCACCTCCAATAAATCATAAGATTAGTCCTAAATTCGGCATTAATATCACCGACTTTTGCTTTAAACACTGTATGTTTTGCATTGGTTACTGACCACTGCCACCATATTATATACTGTCATTGAATTTTGTACTACTACTCTATTGTTTACTGCCATTTATTGTAAACGCTGTGCGGTATTTTCTATTGATTTGTGAACCAAGTGAATTTTGTAACACATTTGTTGATTGTATACCATTTGTTGGTTGTTTGTTGGATTCACACTAAATTCTTTTTCGTACAGATTTCTGGGTCAACATATTGTTTCAGTTTGGGAATCGACACGTAACACCACAAATTGAGATAGGGCAAACTTTATTCCTGAAACCCAGTTAATGCAAAATTAACGGTCCAGTTCCAGTGTCATTTTCCAGATAAACAAAACACGAGTACTGAGTGGTGTTCGTGTGTAAACATGTAGTCATTCTCGGCAACAACTCCCCTGAATGCCGATGACTGAGGTCAGGAATTCACTTTATTCGTAGAATGGAAACCTGTTTACCTCCACACGATGTGTAATGTAATGAGGTCTGTAACAAGCACGTGTTTGATTCAACTTTGATTTCACATTTCTTCATAACAAGCGCTGAATGTTTGTGTACCAGTACTGGCAGTGGTCCCTGGGGGCTGTGTCTGTGTTCACGGCGTGGATGGTGCTGTTGCAGTTCATCCAGAAGTTCCCCATGTTTGGAATCTACGTTGTCATGCTCAGCGAGGTCCTCCTCACCGTCATTCAGGTCTTCGTCGTCTTCTTCCTCTTCATCGTCGCCTTCTCACTCGGCTTCTACACCGTGTTCCAGAACCAGGTTGGCAAATCAATAATCCTATTTCAAAGCTGAGCATAATATATCCGAGGCAAGAGAGTTAACTGACTATAAAAGTCCAGTTTCCACACTTGCCGAACTAGGCTCACATGGTTTGATGCACTTCGCGATGTAAGACCCGTTTTCTCACACTATAGATCTTGATTGTCGATCAGATCGTCTTGTCTGGGCGCCGCCATTTTGTTTGAAGGAAATGTAAGTGATACGAGAGGTGGAATGTTATTGGTCCATAAGAGAGGCATAGAAGGGACATAACTCGTAACAGTCACTGGTGGCGCTACGATCGAGCCCAGGAATCCCAGCCTAGCTCGGCAAGGTTGGAAACTGGACTTTTAAAGTCAGTTAACTCTCTTGCCTCGGGAAGATGAATATAGCTGGTTGAAATGCATTTTCAGATAAATTAAAATAAAAATTTTAAAATCCAGTTAACCCAATGATGTTGAATGTCGTTTCAGGTTGCCTTCCAAAATGTCCCGCGCTCAATTATCAAAACAGGAGTCATGATGATCGGCGAGTTTGAGTTTGATGCCATATTCAATGAGCAATTTAAGTCATCACCAGTAGACTATCGGGATAAAGTCCACTTTCCTGAAGTTGCCTATGTTCTCTTTGTTACCTTCCTCATCCTCGTGTCAATCATCGTCACGAACCTGCTCGTGAGTATTCGTGAGTAATCTGATTTCATTAGATGGTTACTGCTAGGTTTTTGCATATGTTGATGGAATGAATGTATCAACCAAGGTAATGACAAATATAAAAGTTGTTTTAAGATCCATTGACTCTAAAACAATAACAAAAACAAAAACATAATTTAAAATCACATTTAAACAAATTTGATTTGTGTGACATTGAATTTTGGCACCAGGCAGCTTAAATAAATTCTTTTTGTTCCTGAAAAATTCCAACTTATACTACCAGATCAATTTTGAGACACTCCAGTGCTTGAAAGCGGAATGAAAGAATGTATAACAAATTTGATAGTCAAATGCCAATATGTTCAGAGGGAGTGAGAGGTAGACATTTTCACTCGTGTAAAAAGCAAATGCACGTCACAATTTTCGATCATTCAATTACATCATCATTACATCATAGGACGTGGAGAAACTCAGTGTTCTCTGATGATGTCATCCAAATTGAAATTAAAATATACAGAATAAATGATTATCATGTCAGATAAGTTGTTTACGTCATCTCATGGCATGACGAAGCAGATATTTGGACTCTTGGCTTGAAAATGTCTGTTGACAGTCAAGTCAGACAACTCTATGAGGTAAACAAGATAAACAAACATTTCTCTATTCCTTGACATGTCTGTCTGTCTCTCCCAGATTGGTTTGGCTGTAGCTGACATCAAGGCTGTGCAGGACCAGTCTGCCTTCAAGAAAATGGCTATGCAGGTAGGTGACGTAGATCAGCAGCCAGGTGACCACAGATAAGTCATGTTTGTAGAAATAGCTTAATAAATTTCCTTAATGAAAATGCCATTGCTGGAAAACAGAAAAAAATTGCTCCACTTTTAGATGTTGTCTATTTGTTGTTTAACGCAGCAGTCATCAATATTCCAGCTCGATCACAGCGACCTGTAAATAACTGACTCATGTCCATAGGAACCGGTTATTTATATAATGAGCAACGTCCCGAGGTTACTTGGGACTTATTCCAAATGAGAACCCCTACACTGAGGGTCCTTGTAGTCCTTTCTCAATGTACCTGAGTGAGTGAGTGAGTTGGGTTTAACGCCGCTTCTAAAAGGTATTCCAGTTATATCACGGTGTGTCAGCTTGATATGGGAGGAAAGCCCAACGTGATGCAGGTCTCAGACGTTTACCACTTCGGTGAAACCAACGAGCACGGGTATGGTGCTGACAAACCTAGAAACATAATCGGGGAGACCCGGGATTCGAACCCCCCTCAATGTACCTCTTAGAGAATAGATGAGAATAGATATATTGATAAATGACAGATTCCGGCTGTGTGTTTGAATTAATATAATTCTGCACTAAATATTTCTGCGCTAAATACCTGGTATAATCACAATGTGATAGTTATTCATAAACACCTGCTTATGATATGTCTGAATCGTACAAAGGACCCTGCTTTTAGCAGGCATTTCTTATGATTATGGAAAGGGTTTTGTGGCTTCTATTCACCTGATTCCTTCATACTATATCTGGCGACATTCTGGCAGAGCTGGATACTTGCGATAGGTTGGTAATGTCTCTCGTTGCTGATAGGGTTTGTCCAGGAGTCCATTCTGCCAGCAACCTATGCCTGTCGTAGCTGGCGACTTGATTGATCGGGTAGTCAGACTAGGTGACTTGATCGGTAGCGTGTCAATGTACCAGATGGCGTGGAAAGTGTCTCTTGTCCAGATTATTGTCGATTATTGTCATGTAGCTGAAATATTGCAAATAGACATGAACTGATGACATTTCAATCACTGGTGGAAAGTGGGATTTTATGAGAGCTTTAAAGACTGGCACAGCAGAATAGTTGCAATTCACTTGGTATTGCCAATTGTATACAAACATCAGAACACCATATTTGAAAATAGGAGAGTAGCGAAATGTATCCTGTTAGATTATGAGTATTTGGTTTTCTGTCTTTAAATGATCCAGATAACGTAAATTGAATTATCATAAAAACATATGGTTATCGCATTAGATTGGCCACACTTGAAGTGGTCAGCATGTTATGTCAGATGAACATTAATACAATTGGTCAAATATGTTCTTCTCTAGGTTGACTTGGCACTTGACGTAGAGAAAATCTTGCCCGATTTCATCAGGCGGAAGACGTACATCCGAAGAGAAACGTTAAACCCTAACATTTGTCTGAAGTACCCTTTATGGAGGTTATGGAGATTGTTGACCTTCCAATCTTCCTTGTCTCTTGAGGTCATTGAGAAAGCACTCCATCCAGAGCTGGTGAGAGAGAGAGAGAGAGAGAGAGAGAGAGAGAGATTGTAAGAGATGCTTTCAGAGCTTGTGAGCAGGTTCAGGAGTGAGTGAGTGAGTATGGTTTTACGCCGCTTTTAGCAATATTCCAGCAATATCACGGCGGGGGACACCAGAAATGGGCTTCACACAATGTACCCATGTCGGTAATCGAACCCGGGTCTTCGGCGTGACGAGCCAACGCTTTAACCACTAGGCTACCCGACCGCCCCTGCAGGTTCAGGAGGTAAGGTGAGATGAAATGAGGGTTTAACGTCGCGTCAAAGATTATTGTTTCTATATAGCGACGTGCATGCACGTGTGTGTGTGTGTGTGTGTGTGTGTGTGTGTGTCTGTGTGTGTGTGTGTGTGTGTGTGTGTGTGTGTTATACTATGCCGCAGTTTATCATGAATATCCCACTCGAACAGTCTCTCCGGGCGGACGCTCTCCCACTAGCCCACGAGGGGATGTTGAAGGATGCTTGTTTCATAGCTTGTGACTATTCCTCCATCAGGTTCAGGAGGGCCAGGGGTAAATGCAAGGAGAGATAGTGGGCATGAAGATGACCATGAAGGAACTCCAGGAACAGAACTCCCGGATCGAGAGCATGTTGCGAGTCCTCGTGACACAGTCACAACACACAATCCAACAGAAGGATGAAGATCAAGTGGGAGAGCGGACTCGGGAGAACATAGTGTCTACTTAGAGTTGCCTCCCCTGGCAAACATGGATTATCCCCCTTTGTCTCTCTTGAGGCGTGTCGGTTTTGAAAACATTTCAATTGACATCGCCACATCAAAGATTGTATGAAAATCATTTTCTACTTTGGATGGAAGTTAGCTACTCCATTTAAATCCATATTTCAAATTTTAAACATTGAGCAGCAGTTAAAATGGTTTTGGAAAAAAAGGTTTGGAAAAATCTGAACAATGTACTGCTGATTTGATCAGTGTAGTACTTTTTGTTGTATATACTTTAAAATGAGAATTCAACCAAGGTTGAAATGTAAGTGTAGATGTAATAAATGTACATCTATCTCTAGATATGTGCTGGTTACATTATTATGAGTATGACGACGGTTAATTCGACCAAACCCTTTCCATAATTATAAAATATCTTTGCTGTTAGCAGAGTCAATTGTGCAGATGTTTATGAATCACTATCAAATAGTGATGATACCAAGAATTCGCGTAGAACTGGCACATCTGTGTACTTTGAATCTATCAATCAAGCAATCGTTATATCTTAATACTGAGTAGGTCATAGGCCGATAGTACATGTGTACAAAGTGGTTGGAGTACATGTGAACAATATGCAGATCTACATCAATAACCATGATAACTGTTAAAATAAATAAAGTTGTTGAGTTAATGCTTCCTTAAATACATAGCATGGGAAATGAACCTTGACGATTTTTTAATTGTGACAGTATTTTTAATCTTCATTTGTCAAGGTCAAATTTATACAAGTGATGAAACGTGAAGAAAATACTCATGACTGAATTGGTTTCTTATGTCGACATAAAATGGACAAACAAGGATATGTGATAGTCATCTTTCATATTATTATACTTTGAGTCACAAGTTTTACATATTCATCATGTAGATGACCCGTGAAGATGCGCGGTTAGAATAGGTCTTCAGCACCCCATGTTTGTAAGAAGCGGCTTTGCTTGTCGTAAGAAGCGACTAACGGGGTCGGGTTGTCAGGCTCGCTGACTTGGGTCATGCATGTCATCGTATCCCAATTGTGTGGATCGATGCTCATGATATCAATCACTTGATTGTCTTGTCCAGACTCGAATTGTTAAAGAAAGCCGCCATATTACTAGAAGACCAACCTGTAAGTCCCGTGACCAAATCATGGAAACAAAGGTTTGAAAGTGTTTTTGAGTTTCCTGATGTATACTGAACAATTTTGACTTGGGCTGCCCGGTTGAAAATCCCGGGCATTTTGGGGAAGGGTCAACAAAGGTCAAACAGGGGTCAAAATTCAGAATTGTGTCGATATGCATATCAAATTACTCGTCCAGTCATAAGGAACCTAGAAATATATAGTTTATTATACTTCCGACCTTAAATGGGGGATCTATGGCCAAAAACGTTAAAAGGTCAACGCACTTTTGGCAGTCGGTGAAATTCACAAACACAGACAAATTCAACCAAGCAACATTTAAAAGTAAAAAGGTTTACCTTGACCTTGAAAATCGAAAATGGTTGGCTGCACGAAGAATTGAAATGCTTCAGCAAAGTCACAGGATCCTTGGCCAATAATGAAGCATATTTCAGAATCCATTGTCCAGTAATGCTTTTCTAACCTTACTTTAGTGCACAGTTCATCATCCTACTCTGTGTCATACCGATCAGATGCAGAGTCGGAATCACTGTCACAATCACTAGTATCTGAATCTGTGTCCGATTCTACAGAGCAGTTTGCTCTGGTATCACTCAGATGTTGAAGCAGTGCTGGCTGTGAATACCGTATTGGCAAGTAAGCATTTCTGGACAATGGATTCTGAAATATGCTGTGTTATTGGCCAAGGATCCTTTTAACGTTTTTGGCCATAGATCCCCCATTTAAGGTCGGAAGTATAACAAACTATATATTTCTAGGTTCCTTATGACTGGACGAGTAATTTGATATTCATATCGACACAATTCTGAATTTTGACCCCTGTTTGACCTTTGTTGACCCTTCCCCAAAATGCCCGGGATTTTCAACCGGGCAGCCCAAGTCAAAATTGTTCAGTATACATCAGGAAACTCAAAAACACTTTCAAACCTTTGTTTCCATGATTTGATCACGGGACCTACAGGTTGGTCCTTGACTATATAGCTGGAATATTGCTGAGTGCGGCGTTAAACAACAAACTAACAAACATCATGGAGATTCATGGAGGCGAGGCTGGGTTCACCTCTTCTCCAGATATTGGGCAAAGGTTAGATTCTCATCATGGCTACTTGTAAAGTGTGCTAATGATGTCGGGTGTGTGGCATGGTACTGCTGGTGATTGGTATGATCAGGAAACCAGTGATATACTGTGTGATAGTGATTCCCACCTTCTTGGGTAAGCCGATACTGATTTTGTGGTAAGTCGGGAAAGCAAATGAAAACATACATTCATACTCGCGGCAGCTCAGAAATCTATTTGTATTTCAACAGATCAGCCCATGATTGTACTAGATGGAGTTTGGTTTTTAAAAAACAATGTCAGCAGCTTTGAAAGAACTGTTACTGATCTCATAAAGAATAACTTTCAAAATGTGTACACATTTTGATCATTTTTAGATTTTTTATGCAGGTATCTAAAAGATAACCAGTGGTCACATTTGCTCAGATTTTATTTGCATGTATTTGTATATTTATAACGTAAACAAGTGATAAAGGTTGCCATTGTCTATTGTGCGTTGTCAAGTGTGACAAATATGCAGGGGAGGCTCATTTACACCGGGTTAATATTCCTAACAGTCTCATCCTTGTACAATTAAGTTTTCAGTCAAGGGTAATAACTCTTCTACTTCTCTCAAGAGTTGTCTCCTCTCTTACTGAGCGTTAACCACTTCTCACAGTAGATTTTGTTTAGCTATAACAAGGCGATTGTTATTTACTGGTGTACCGTCTATATACACCTGTTCGTTCTATTTTTAGCACAAGTTAAGACATTGAAAGGTATTAACTCATAAACATTGTATTATTGTATTAAATGTTCATGTTGCCAATCGTACATCGATCACCAAACATTCCATTTTAAAATGTTTATTGATTGATTCAGTGTATTTCATGGATACTTTCCCAAGTGATGTGATAATTCCTTTAGTACATCTCTAATACTTCTATTTTCTGGAATATGAGCTTATGACATGATCATCACAAAAACTTATATTTTCTGTAAAGAGTCATATTGTATATAGATCTGGGATGGGGAGGCGAGAGGCTTAGAGACGTATATATTTTCCCTAAATTGTTTGGAATATTTATGTGTTTTTGTAACCTTTTTAAAACCAGGTTTCTGGACAGATGACCAAATACATGCACGTCATGCAGTAAATATTTCGTTGTAAACTCGTAGAAATCTGAAATACAGTTTTCTTATTTCAGAACTCCCACTGTTTATATGGAACCATAGGGCAACTATACATCAACATATTATATATTTGCCCTCATTTTGCAATTCCCCGGTAAAGTATCTTTAACATGTATAATACCGAAGTGGTCAGTGCAAATGTTTTATATGTAATATAACACATCTTTATCTGAATATTTTTAGAATGCCCTTATTTTGCATTCTAGATACTTTTTGTATTATTCGTCACATAGAATTTTCTACAAATGATATATTATTAAAGTCATTTTAATACTCCGATTATCGGTTTTTGATAATAGGTCGCTTGTGGATCGGGTGGCCGAGCTCTGATTGCGTATCATCGTACCCCGACGATGTGGGTCGTTGCTCACAATCACTGGATTGTTTGGTCCAGACTCGACTTTACAGGACTATCCTATTGTCGAACACCTGATTGGTTTCGTACTTTAGCGAGGTTGTTTTTTGAATGAAAAGACATGTTTTGGCGCACAGTTCTCAACATAATTCTCGCAGGTCGGCATAAAAATTGAAAAAGTAATTGACTGTTTGAAACCTATTCACAAAATATGAATATTTGAAACATGATTGTGTTCACACTATTGTACTCTTCCTTTTCATGACGGGCACAAAAAGTCTGACTGACGAAGGAATGTTCTGACATGTGTACAGTACTTCACATGTACTCAGTGTTGACAGGCCGAAAGCATGCATTCACAAGTCGGCAGCTTTGATGACGTTACACCTCTCCCAATAATGCGACAAATCAATATCAAATACGGCTGTTCGAAAATAGGGATCTCGACGATATATTGTGACCCGACTAATCCAGAGTGTTGAAAGAAGCCCAACACATATGTCGATTACTGATTATTGTGTAGAACCAAGCATAGGACGTGTGACACAGGGATATTTAAAAATAGTGGGATTATATATCAAGGAAATAACGTGACAGTAATTTCACATTACAAATACTTGAGGATCGTCAATCAAGATTAACCATATCTAAAGCCTGCGAGACTATTGCTCTTCAAGCCATATTAGCTTGCTTCTTGGTTTTAATTCAATGAACCTGTATTCTGATAAGTCATACAAAGCAGCTGTTATTATTATATTTGCACCATTTTCATAGTACGGCAGTGACATATGGGTGTCTACAGACATAGATAAAGTATAAAGTGATTTCTTTAAAAGATATCTCGCACTGAACAACAGTAGTCCTACGTTATGTGTGGGCTAATTACTTTAATAGGAACGTAAGCTATTAGTGCAGAACTATTGTTTGTTTGTTGTTTAACGCCGCACTCAGCAATATTCCAGCTATATGACGGCGGTCTGTAAATAATCGAGTCTGGACCAGACAATCCAGTGATTGACATCATGAGTATCGATCCACGCAACTGAGATACGATGACATGCATCAACCAAGTCAGCGAGCCTGGCCACCCGATCCCGTTAGTCGCCTTTTACGACAAGCACAGTTGCCGTTTATGGCAAGCATGTGTTGTTGAAGACCTATTCTACCCCGGATCTTCACGGGTCTACCCCAAAGATATTCGTGCGTGTTACCTGGCGTTAAAAGACTATGATTCAAATGGTAGTAAAACTGGATTTCGCTCATCAGGCCAGGTTTCAACGTCATTCCTGGATCCATGAGGCATTTGTCCCGAACCGTTGTGACCCTAGATATAGATCGTACATCACTATCTCCAAAGTTTCAGGACAGTCTGTGCATATTATCTAAATTTTGTACATGATATTTAGGCTACAAGTAAGCATCCCCGTGGGTACCAGGTGTGCTCCCCTTCTTGTTGATCTGTTTCTTTATGTATATGAATCGGAATTTCTGCCTGGAATGGCAAACTCAAAACACGCCAATCTGGCCAAGAAGATTAAATAATGCTTTAGGTATATCGATGATCTCAATCGCTCAATAATTATCAAACAGCGAATTCCCTGAATAGAAATTAAATGAAACAATTAAACCGCATCATCTGTTATATTTTGATCAATGCATAAAGATTCGGACTGACAATAAAGTGTTCACATGTTGCAAAGATGCAATTCACTTTCCAAGACATTGTTTACCTTCGTCCGCCATTTTCTTAGCCGGGTCGATACACACCTGTTCTGTGATACAAAGTTTCGTTGACGTGATCGATTCCTGTTCGGCAATCCGGCCCTGTTAGGCGATATGATATGCATTGCGTAAGGTTTTCCATCCAAAATAAAAGCTTTGAACTCATGTTTCTTAATATAAGGTCACACTGTCTGTGGTTTTTCAGACTTATACTTTCTTCTTTCATTCTAATCCGAGGGGTGGCTGAATGGTTCGGAGCCTGACCATTATCATTCTCAGCCCCTTTGGGAGTATACAACCTAAGCTGCCTGTGAGGCGCTGGAAGGTTAACAACTACATTGACATTTCATCCTACCGGGTACCCATTCACTGCTGGGTGAACAGAGTCACTTGCCCAAGGAGACGCCACATGTGTTACATGTGCTTCAGTGTGGGGCAGGACCGAAGCCATAGAAACTATCAGTAGTTAAGCTGCCGAAACGCTGTCACCCATCCAAGGACTCTACCCAACCTACGTTGCTTAAATTTCACCTGATCTGTGACCTGTGCGCTGTGCACAGTCCAGTGCCACTAGAACGTCACAGAATATACCACAGGTTTCTATAATGCTTGAAATCAATCAATGCTATTCCGGAAGTTTACTGATAATTCCAGCATCTTTATATAATAACTTTCTCACCAATGCTTACATTAAATAGTACTACATTCCTGACAACTAATCATTGTCCAAATACAATGCAATAAAACTTCTACTGATTCACAACAGAAACATTGTAATACAGTTACAATCATTGTATGACAATAAATTACACTGCCATATAACAGTTAACCACTTAGCGACCCACCATGTATTGACATGGTGGATTTAGTGTACCATCGTTCCCGATGGCGAAGACCAGCTGTCAGACTAGCTCCCACTGGACGGCTAGAACTTGCTGGAGAGGACTGTTGCTGTCAGGTTGTCATATGTAACTGAGTAGGGTCGCAAAAGTAGGAATGCTTGCCACTACGAACGCTTAACATGGGAAGAAGGCACTGCCCAGAACTAAAACACTTCTAAAACCGACATTATACGAAGTGTTAAGTCTCGGCTCGATAGCATATTCGTGAAAACTCGTGTCTTTCCGAAACTTGTAACGGAAAGAGACGAATGTTGACGAATGCACCCAGCGCAGGGTGAGGTATTTTGGTATTTGGTCTAACACAGTTTCTCCGAAGAAGTTCCTCTCGTCTAATGATCTGCAAATCATTTCCGGAAATGTACAACATTTACTGTCAATCAACAACAATTTTCTCCAAGCTCCCCACAGCGATTCTAGCCAACAGGTGCCCGTTTGGTAACGAGATTGCTATGTTTAGAGCTGTTCTTATATCAGTAGTAGTTTTTACATGTGTTCTGGTTATTTCCAACTCCAGTCTCGCCCCGCCCGAGACTTTGATGTGAGTGTCTGCATGCAATCACCCGTCTGTGGAGGCAGGGATGTGTGTGTTTTGTGGCATACTTTCATACTTACATGTGGTGTACAGACGAAATCTCCACATTTCATGTTGGCAAATTGTGGGTATTGTTTTGTCTAGGAATCGTTCCAGGTGAATAAGTACGACAGTGATACATATTAAATGTCATGACAATGCAATGCCTACGAAGTCGTTACAAAACTGCCGGGCAAAAGAAAGAAAACACCCATGGTTGAAGCCAAGAAATGGTTATTCGATGGCAATGTATTAAACACGGGTGTCCTAGGCTATGTCTCATAAGTATCTCAGACAAGGGTGACACATGGCGTTTCACGGAACATGGTGACCGCAACTTCACAGTACAGTTATAAGCAGGGTGAAGTGTGAATTTTCAAGTACATACTTTCTTTTGCCCGCAGTTTAGATTTCTTTCCTGATATTAGGTGCCAGTATACTTCCTGAAGAAGGGGTACCAGTGTTGAAACTGAAAATTGAATGAACGTGGTTCAGGTGAATGGGCTTTACAGACCGCCGTCATATAGTTGGAATATTGCTGAGTGACAAATTCAAGCGTCCCTCCGAACCACCGATCTTCAGCTCACCTGACAGACTGTCATCCACTACACCACGAAGACGTAGTCTGTCTTACAGGACTGCCTCCTTGGTCTAGTGGTAGAGCGTCCGCCCGGAGAGCGGAAGATCTGGGGTTCGATCCCCGGCCGCGTCATACCAAAAGACGTTAAAAGATGGTACTTGTTGTTACCCTGTCTGGCGCTCGGCATAAAGGGGCTAAAACTTTACAAGGACTGGTCGGCTCGGAGCTAGTATACTGTGTCTGAGTGGGGTATTCATGTTAAACTGCGGCATGGTATCTAAGTGAGCTAGCACTATAAAACGGCATCATTCCGGACTAGTACAAGCAGCCACACAAACACACACGTACATGCACGTCGCTATATAAGTGCAATAATCTTGGACGCGACGTTAAACCCCATTTCACCTCACCTCACCTGTCTTACAGACCCTGATACAAATATATATCAAATACAGCCCATGCAAGTCTATAATGTTTTGCAAGTCTAGATTACTGCAGTATCTGAAAATGAAGAGAGTCACTGGGCTCCCTTTTATTATATTTTTATTAAGATAACTGAACAACTGCACGATATGTTCATTTCAGAGACTAGATGTTAGTCTACACGAAGACGGTTAAATTGAATCAAACATTTAGACAATGCAACGAAACTTCAACAGACAGGATAACATGTTTACGGTGTATGGTCCGGATAACTATATTGTAAGATCGAGCAATTGTATGGCCTCACTGGCATCCGTTTGGGCCATGGTGTAAATGGTCAACACCAGCACAACCACAATGGAAGAGGAAGCCATGCGTGCATAATGTCATCTTGCAAAGTAAGCAGAAATCATCGTCGTGAACGTAGTCACGTATCTGATGCTTGGGAGTCTTCGAAATCCTTGATCTGCCCCTTCGCCGTGTACATTAGTATGGATGCTAGTGGATGTAGCACTTATAGAATGAAAACATCGTTTTCAGCCGCATCAGCACCTTGCTGCTATTTGCGGCGAGATGGAGACATAATATTTTATCCATAAAACAACGTTTACAACAAAATATGTTCACAAAGAGAGTATTCCTCATAATTTCAGCAGTTTGTAATCCCGTTAAGTTTTCTATGCAAACAGACGCTAATATGCATTTGTTGTTAATGTGGTCATATTATGTGTTTTTTTAATCCCAAAAAGTTGTTTTACCGTTATGATTGCTTCCAAAGTTTAACAGCTTGTACACCTTTCTTGGAGTTACGACGCGTGTGGCATATTCACTGGAACACTTGGAACATCTCAAAACAAGATGTATACCGACAACAAACCTCGTTGAAGTCTAACGTTACTCAAATCTGTCAGCGAGAAAAGTATTTCGGCCAATCAGATTCCACGTAGTCTCGTGCAGACGCAGCGTGCGGGGGTGGTGGCGCTCGCGGGTAAGGAAGAACATTCCTGGAGCGCCCTGCAAGACATACGATAGAAGTTTGCGCAATCACCGTTCAAACTTTGTACATGGAGGGAAGTATCACCCCATGACGTATGAAATGGTCAAAGGTCATTCCAGTCGGCTTCCACCTGTACTTCATGCACACGAAAGAAAACGCCATCAGAGTTATCTCCCTTTGAAATTTTCTTCCGGTAATTGGTAAGGTCAACAAACTACATA